GGCTTTTGGGGATGAAATACCATCCAATAAGACTGTTTATAATTGGTTTGCCGAATTCCAACGTGGACGTATCTTTCTTTGACGAATTCCGTGAAGTCGTCCATCTACGTCTGTTGTTGCCAATAATATTGATGCTGTGCGTGAAATGATTGAGCGAGATCGGCATATGACGTACCGCGAGATTCAGACATCCTTAGGCAACGACATGAAAGCAATACATACGATTTTGCATGATCACTTGAATGTACGGAAACTTTGCAGTCGTTGGATCCCACACAATTCGATCATAACTCAAAAACAGGCTCGTGTTAAATGGAGCAAAGAAATACTCAAGAAATTCAACTGAGGTCAGTCAAATTTGGTCTACAACATCGTTACTGGGGACGAAACATGGATCTATTCGTACAAGTCCGAACAACAATCCACTGTTTGGGTATTTCAAAATGAACCGAAATCAACAAAAGTTGTTCGTTCACGCAGTGCTGCCAAGCAAATGATTGCTTGTTTCTTCAGTTATACTGGACATGTGGCAACCGTGCCTTTAGAGGATCGAAGAACTGTAAATACTGATTGGTATACGACAATTTGTTTGCCAGAAATCATAAATGAATTGTGTAGAACAAATCGAAATCGTCGCATCATCCTTCATCATGACAATGCCAGCTGTCACACAGCACGACAAATCATTGATTTTTTACCCAGTAAAAATATCGAATTGATGATTCATTGTCCGTATTCACCTGATTTATCACCTAATGACTTCTTTTTGTTCTCAAACATTAAAAAGAAGATGCGTGGTGAGCGATTTGAGTCGCTTGAAGCAGCTGTTGAAACATTTCGTACACTGATTTCTGAGGTTACAGCTTCAGAATGGAAAAAATGCTTCGAAAATTGGTTCGAGCGTATGCAAAAATGTATCGATCTTAAAGGCGAATACTTCGAAAAACAATAAAGCCATTTATCAAATTTTACATGTTTTTTTCATATTGTTTGCAGAAACTTTTCCAGCAGCCTACGTACAAATAATTTTTTCTTAATTGTCAAGTTATTACGGTAAATCTGACAGCTTATCTATAATATTTAGATATTAATTGATTCGCGCAGTTCAGATTAGTATTTACGTAAGCTGTCAATTTATTTGGTAATTATTTAGTACAGAAGAACCAGCTCCAATCACTTTGACTTTGATATATATTGTCAGGTTATGACCCCATGAATCCTTCCGAATTTCGTCAAGTTATTCACGTATCACTTTTAATGAAGATGTAAATGCATATAAATTACGATAAAAGACAAATGCATATAAGTATGGACAGAAACATATCGTAAATTGGGTGGATAAATTCAATACTGACCAATATTGGTATATACAAAAATAAGATCGTAAACTGCGGATAGATTCTATTCGTGGCGACTGCGCAAATGCATGAACACAAACCGATATATTCTATATCCGCAAATACGAATGTTTACCAGTGTTCTATGTATGCGTATACATCCTGATTAAGAATTTTTTATTGTAAAATCGAAGTACAATCGCAAGTTACAATCGAATATGAAATGTATAAGTGTGTATAAGTAGGTATAGATTTTTGCGAGTTGCACCTTTAAGATTGAATTAATTAAATTATGTCAATTGAATTATGCCATCTTAATTATTGGCTGGATCTCTTTATATTATAATAATTTCTTGTAGAACTTTTATAGAGTACTAGCAAAAACTGCGGCTAGAACTATTGGGAATCTGAAAAAAGATGCTGTCGGGATTTCATTGAATTTCACGCGAGTCGCACCTTCGAGGTTGAGTAATTTTTTAATTATTGTGATCGATCCGGTCACAATAATTAAGAATCAACTTCGAAGATGAGAAATTTTTTCCTAGTAGTATAGAGATATATTTTATTTATCAAGAACTCTAAGGCCCATATTCAGAATGCGCTTTTATCTTTAAATTTTCTATAGTATGCGTAAATTATAGCATATTAGCGCGCTAACAATTCGTTGTAAGTGCGTTTTGAAAATACGGACCTATAACTCGCCGAAAGAAATCAAATGGCCTTAGATCTATTTGAACTTGATATTAATTTTTTAATTTTTTCGAAAAAAAATGTTTTTTTTCTATTGAGAACTCTAATACTTTTTTTAGGCTTTCATGGGTATTATTTTCAAAGAAGGTTTGCAGGTTGTCAGTGTTTTTATTCATTGCTCATGTCAACGTTTCATGAACCTTGTTCACTTCATGCTGCGCACTGATATTCCTCGCTCTAGTAAACTGAACAGTAAGGTGACCATCCTTAAGACGGTCTTAAATATTATATAAGATCTGACTATGAATACAAGTACAAATTTTAATAGTGTTAATCGCCGAAACTCTTTTTATAAATACGAGAGAAACTCTTACACTTTTATTTAAAAGGAATCTAGAACTCTAATCAGAACTCTCGGGAACTATACGGCCCTATATAACTTTATAACCTACCTTTATAACTTTATAATCTTTATACCTATTAACTATATAACACCCTTGGTTTCTCTGTACTAAATAATTACCATTTATTTTTTACTTGCATCATGATCATTCTGCGAAATTTTTGAAGATTGAATTCTTATTAGAAAATTTAATTGAAGAAGGATTTTATGGAGTTATATGATAAAAACTATTCACCCAGCAAATGAGAATGGATGAAATGGATTGAAATGAATTGAAATGGATTCAGATTTTCAGAAATATTGATTCTCGAATGTTAAAATGAATGCTTTTCAATTCTGAATGCATTTTTATTTATTTATAGAAATTGCATGGAGCATATCTCTATGCCTTTCAATCTAAAAATAATATTAGCTTTTTCTGTGCACACAAACAATTGTGAATACTGTTCAATTCAAAATTTTGAATAGGAAATGCAGTTTTTCAATCCAATTGCATCTAATTGAACCCAATTAAATCCCAATTAAAAAAAAGTATTCGTTATTTAAAATACGCATTCGGATAGAAAAAAAATTTAATCCATTTTAATCCATTTTCGTTTGCTAAGCACATATTTAAAAACTCTTGTTTTTTTATTAACGCATGAAACTTAATTTTCTCCATTTTTATCAAACTTGATAGCTAAAATAACAATACGTAAATGTATGAATGCTATTGTAATTGAAATTTCTTCAATTTACAGAATGTCCGTGGTTATGGCCATCCCCAGGTTTGCATATAATTTACCAAAATACGTCCTAGGATTGGGTTAGAACAGGAGAACGGACGCTAAGTGCAAACATGTAACTCAAATTGTGATGTTAAATTATTAAAAATATGATTATTGTCATCGCGTTCAAAATACAAATTTCGATATCTTCGTGCGTTGACGATCAATGATTATATATGCCTGTCGAAATTCAACATCGCGTTCAATTCCCAATAATTGTTTCGCAGAAACCACACACACAACTGCGCTATATAATTCTTCGATCTTAAAATTTTTAGAAGAAAATATGAACAAATTAAAATAAATTATTTCTACGAAAAGAATTGATCAATGAAATGAATCGAATAATTGTAATTGATATTTAACGAAATGATTAATTTTCAACTCTCAAAATCATGCATTGTTCTTTTTTAAAATTGGCTGCGTTTAGCGAACTCAACAGTTGAGTGAGCGCTCGCTGTTATTGATGTGTTCTTTCAGATCTAAAATGCTGATCTAAAAGAATACATTATAACAGCGAACGCTCTATCTCAACTGTCGAGTTTGCTGAACGCAGCTATTGGGCAGCTATTCAGTAAATTCAACAGTTGAGTGAGCCCTCGCTGCTATTGATTATGTATTCTTCTAGATCGTAACAATGAATGTCAAATGTCATATGACGGATGTCGTACATAGTGTGAATCCTACATTTCAAGTATGCTGGGTTCATTCGGAGCGACTCTGAGCAGCTCCAGGAGATAAAATGAACAATGCTTTAGAGTCCTATTATCCTTTATAAGAGAAGTGCGACCAACTTATGTCAGTATCGCAAAAATACTAAAAAGTACTAGAAGAAGTATTAAAAATGGCATCGTTTGCAAGACGTACTATGAAATCCACTAATCATTCATTAAACAGCCATTTTTCGCATGAACTTGTTAGCCATGAAATTTGTGAGTAGAAAAGTGGAAATATAGGGAAATATGATGCAGTAATATAGAGCATTAGAAACGTAGGTATTCGCGTCCACTATTTTTGTTCCTTTTTCCACTCTACTCTGTCCTCATTCTATCACTGAGCTGTGACGTGTTATGGTCATTACAGGATACGATTTGTATTTGCTGCTTGAAATTTTGTAGCTCCTTTCATTCCATTTTTGTTCTTAAAATCAATTGAATATCTATCTTAATATTAGTGCAGGACCTGAAAAAAGTGTCTGGCGTTCAAGTTATTTCTAGAAGGTGCCAAATATATATGTCAATTTAAAGAAAAGGATTGAAATTTCTCATCCGCGAGGAAGTGTAGTAATGTTTATTCACAAGTCATGTATTTATTTTACAGCAATGCAGCAAATAATCGACGAATATTATTCGCAGGAAATTTAAATAATCGAATACCTTTTTCTATTGATACAGATTACCGCAAGGCATTTTATAATTTTTTTGCCTTCATTAATATACAATATAATATTTCAGTTTTTTTTATATCCTTCTTTTCGTCTCTTAGTTTTTATGATAAAATTTCGAAGCAAAAATTGTAACTAGATTCCGATCTGTTTCTATTGAATGGGACGGGTAGAAAAAATTGTTACGGGAAATTGGAACGGAACCGAAACGGAATGCTCAATTCCAGTAAGAAATCCGATTCATCATTTCGATCTGTGCTTAATGGAACGGCATCCTAATGGCTTAAGCCTACTCTACAAGTCGTAACTTATAGGTGATTGTAGTTGTAAGAATTGATCAATTACAGTCAAATATTCTCTTCACATTCGATTTGATTGGTGAATACTATGGAGTATAGAAAATAGGAGGCCGAACTTACATAGACGAGGCCATCAAAAAGCGTGGTCAAAAGTAGTCATCTGAATTAGTTCAATCGAGATGTCATTTTCGTTCCTCCACATCTAAAGTCATTAGATTAACAAAGTACCACGAACTGCTGCCATTTTGGCTCCATTACGCGCGGTTATTCAAAACTTCAACCTCTTTCGCTGCGGTTTTGCAATTTTCAACACAGCAACCGGACATTTTCGATAATAACAGAATCAGATTCTTCTTCTTCTTCTTCCAGACCCCTATCACTGACGAGATTCTATTAAAGATCGTCAACTCTGGGCAAATTTTCAACGGTATAAAAAAGGCTCCAAGGACTCGCAGGTAATTGAAGAATGCTGACATTATCGACAATTGATATAAATTTTTTTTGCTATTATTAACATAAATATTTGTTTCATACATTATTAAATTTATGATTTTTTATTACATAAATGTTTCATAAATAAATATGCATACTTGTAAAGCTGTAATATCCTATTGTAGAAAATTACAATTTTTTTCTGCAGTTATCACCTCTGTTGATAATAAAACTTTGACGATAACACTAAAATTTTATTTTAAAGAAAAATCAAGTATTATTGAGTTCTAAATGCATAAATATGTCTACTAAACTAATAAATCATAAAATAAGTACAATATTATCAGTTTTTAACTCTTAATCACTTGAATATTCACAAGGACGCGAACTCTTATAAGGATGTCGGTCTTTAATAATATCTTGTCAGTGCCCTTATATAGATTTCCGATCTTTTAATAGAATCAGGTTAGAATAGCATTTCGACGCCATTTTGGCTCGAAATGCTAATTCGGTGAATTTTCTCATCGCGATACTTTGTTAATCTAATGACTTTAATTACACCGTTCTCCCAGTTTGCATGGTAAGTCATATCAATTTTACATAAAGAAGAAATGCTCTATTCTTTATGCAGTTTTAATGACAATTTACATCTTCCTGTTAGGGCTCCGCACAATATATAGGGAACAGAAAACAGAGAATAAGAATTTCAACCTATCAGAAATTGTGTATTTCACTAGGTGTATTTTAATAGGTTGAAATTCTTATTTTCTGTTCTTTGTTCCCTGTTCCTTTTATTGTGCAGAGCCCTTTACTGTCAGAGCATGATGTCAAAGAATAATCTCTATTCTTAGGTTATGTATGTTCGGTTATATATGCATAAGTGTATAAAAGAGTTTTGAACGCTGCCTACCGAATATCACCAATACCACTTCAGAAACCTGATTTGGACACTTTTCAAAGCCTAGTTCAGCCTTTTATTCTCTATACTCTATGATCAATACTTACACTTACAACGGTTACACTACATTTCCATAAAAAAAGAGGGGATTATGTTGGTAACAAAGAAAACCTCTAGGCATTGCAATTTAATTTTTTATGGATTGATAACATCGTTTAAGTAGTAAATTTGTCAGTTTAGAAGTTCTTTCGGATAATCTTTTTGACATATGTGATATGCGTACGCGTATGTAATAAATATGTAATAAATATCTTTTAAACGTAAATATTAAATATATTGTGACATAAAATTAGAATTAAATGAAATAAAAATCACAAATAACTGAAAATATGAAGTGCATAGAGATGAAGCTTTATGAACATCCAAATTTCCGAATGAGATTCAATCGTAATACAGAAAGGAATTAATTATATTCAATTTCGAAAGAAATAGAAATAAACATGGAAAATTTGGATTTATGATTATTTTGTGTATGAACTGTCCCAACTCTGTGGAAAAAAAAATAAATTAATGAATATTTCAATACTCTATTCTTTTTTATTCATTTTGTTAGTCTCTATGCACTTCATATTTTCGGTTATTTGTGTGATTTTTATTTTATTTTATTCTAATTTTATGCCACAATATATTTAATGCTTACGTTTAAAAGATATTTATTACATATTTATTACATACGCGTATGCATATCACATATATTAAGAAGATTACCTAGTAGAACCTTTAAACAGATTTACTACTTAAACGATGTTACCAATTTATAAAAAGTTAAATTGTAATGAGATTTTCGTTGCTATCAACATTATCCCTTTTTTAATGGAAATTATATTGGGTCATCTAAAAAGTATCCGGTACTTTATCATTAGATATATGACCATCAACACATCTAGTGACAAAAAACCGCGGATACTTTTTAGACCCAATAATATAAGTCTGAGCACAAGAATTGTCGTAAAACTTATTTAGAGACTTAGGTTGTAGACGTAAGTAACGCACAAGCTTTAGCGTATAATGTACGATTTATTGCCGTCTTGGAGACATGGTAATAAGTTGTACGTCATACATGACAGCTTATGCGTTACTTACGTCTACAATTTAAATCTAAGTAAGGGCCTGAGCACAAAGATTGTCGTGGATTATCGTTATCGAGATTAACTTTCGAGAGAGTCATAAATCAACGCACAAGGATTTGTCGTAATTTCCGACAGAATTGTAAATCAACGCAAGGATCGATATAAACATACGTCGTAGATCGTAAGGATCTTTACAAAAATCATTGTGCGTTGATTCACGATTCTATCAGAAACTATTACGACAATCCATAACAATCTTTGTGCTCAGACCCTTACAATTACGATTACGATATTGTAGAATAGACTTAAGACTATTCTACAATGATTGTAAAGCCGGTTTTACATTAATTGCAAGCTGATCGCAAGTTTGTTGCGACAGCCAATCTGAAGCTTGCATTTTGAAATCAATGTCTTCATATTGGCTGGTTCTGAAGCTTGCATTTTGAAATCAATGTCTTCATATTGGCTGTTGCAACAAACTTGGGATCAGCTTGCAACTAATGTAGAACCGGCTTAAGACCATAACATAAATCGCAACACGCAAAACTCATACGCAACGCTTGTCGAGACAGCCAATCAGAAACGCTGATCTGATGAAAGCAATGGCCGATTTATTTGTTTGCAAGATTATTAACTGTAATAGCGAATTCGATCATTTGCACTACACTAGGTCAGTGCATACTAAAACCTGCTTTGCATGAAATTAGCAAAATTAATTATTAAAGTATATAAATATTTTAAACGACTAATTATGTACTAATGATATTATCACGTTATTTAACAAAATATATGTGTCATTTTATTGTCAAAGTTGATTATATTGTATCATTGCATTGAGATAGTTTATATAAAGCAGCTTTTAATATGTACTGATCCAATGTAGTGCGAGTGATCGAAGATTTCATCATAAGTTTAAAGATGGATTTGAAGAAGTTAGGCTTTATAATGCGTTTGATTTTATTATTAAATCGAAGTAATGCGCTTTAAATGATTGTTTTGCAAGCATAGCAACAAAAGTTAGACATTGGTGGATCAGGCCAATCAATAAAAGAAGACGACAATAGAGTTTCCTATTTAACTTGTTTCACGAAATTAGATTAACTCTAAATTAGATCATAAAGAATTTTTTGCTTACACTCAACTCTAGCCTGAACAATATAAAATGCTATTGGAACTAGTAATCGTAATTAAGAAAATGTAGCAATCGGAAACCTCTCTCGTCCGATGCACGGTTAACCATTAACTTTGACGTAAGTAATTTCAATTGTTATTAATAGTATTCTGTTGCTTAAACAATTTATCTAATTGTTAACAATTTCTTTAATAATTATAACAATTTCCTCCTTTCTTTGTTTCATTTTAAGTATGTGCAACTTATCAACACTGGCCTAGTTTCCATCGAGGATTTAATCAGAATGTAAGAACTAACCAATTACAGTCGAACGTTCCCCTGTATTCGTTCGACTGTAACAGGGGAATACTCGACTAGTTGGCTGGTTTTTACATTCTGATCTGGTTTTGCACTTTTAGGCTGATTTTCGACTTGGTTCCGCCTTCCGTTATTCTCCTCACCTCTCTCCCCGCGCGCAGTCCAAATGTCGCTCGATGTTTAGGAGCGTATAACGCTCGCTTTAGGCGCTCACACTATAAACTTCATTCTATATCTTTTTTTTCATTACATAAATAAGATAGAATGAAGCATAAGCACTCAATTTTGCAACGCATTGCTTCATTCTATCTTAGTTATATAATGAACAAACAAAAAAAATAGAATGAAGTTTACAGCATGAGCACCCAAAGCGGGTAGACCTCATGTCTATGAACGTATGTCATACGTTCCTAAACATCGAGCGACATTTGGAAAGAGCGTGGAGCGAGAGATGAAGGGAATAACGAAAAGAGTCGGAGTCAAGTCGATAATCGGCCGAGAAGTGCAAATTTTGCCGAGCCCTGCAGACCTATTCTGTCTTTTAACGCAAATTTCATTATCATTATAACGCCGCTATGCAGCTTTTTTGAAAAGCAGCCATGATGAAAGAGCTGCGTAGCAGCATTATAATGATAACGAAATTTGCGTTGAGAGTTACAGAATAGGCCTGCTGGTCTTACGTCACGGTCATCGTAGAATAGGCTTTAGGACTGCCACGCACAAAATTCCGCAACAGTGACCGTAAGATATAAATTTAAGCCGATGAACTAATAAGGATATTGCTTTAGGTCTACGTAATCTAATCGAAATAGAAATGACAGTAAATTTATCCATAATCTCGCAATAAGGTGAATTTTGACCAGTTGAAACTCGCCTTATGAATAAGTTTACTGCTATTTCTATTTCCGTTAGAGTACGTAGATCTAAAGCAGTATCCTGATTGGCTCATCGGCTTAAGTTTATGCTTAAGGTTATCGTTACAGAAATTTTGTCTGCGGCAGCCCCTTTATATTGGCCGTAACCATATACCGTAATCTGTAAAAATTGATTAATCATCTTCAAGTATTCCCTTCTTACTGTTAAATGAGAGGGGAATAGTTGACTGTGATTAGTTAATTCTTATAGATTACGGTATACGACATACAGTTACGGCTAATATAAACACTCCCTTATTATAGAAGGCCCATAACGCTTATGCTAGTTACGCTTTATGTGAAAGCAGGTTAAAAAATGTAATCGGTCGATTAGTTCATTGGAATTGGCCAGTCGCATTTGTCATTTCGTTTGGCGGCAGATGCGATTGACCAATGTTAACTAATTCCAATGAACTAATCGGTCGATTAAGTTTGTTAAAGTGATCCTTATTAATTAAATCCATGTTTACTGTTATATTTGTTTACATATAAATAATATTGTATAGGATATTCATTATTAGAAGACAAATTACTTTTGGATCAATCGCATTTGATGCTAAACATGGGGTATTATTACGTGAATCCCCTAATCCAGAACCTGAACACATTTACAAATCGAAATACGCAAATACTTTCATCCTATAATAAATTGTTTCTACATAAAAAATTTTATGTTAAATTTAACACATTTTACATGTCCCAAACGATCCAAATTTTTGTGTTAATCAATTCAACATAAGATGAATATATTAGGAAGTAACACAAAGATTATGTAAAACATTAACACAAGAAGCATAATATACTTTGGCACTTTAAAAATAAATTTTGTGTTAAATTGGTACATTTATAATCCCAGCAAACGAGAATAGATTAAAATGGATTGAAATTTTTTTCTATCCGAATGCGTATTTTAAATAGCGAATACTTTTTTTGTGTGGAATTAATTGGATTTAATTAGATTTAATTAGATACAATTGGATTGAAAAATTGCATTTCCTATTCAAAATTTTGAATTGAACAGTATTCATAATGCATAGAAAAAGCTAATATTACTTTTAGATTGAAAGGCATAGAGATATGCTCCATGCAATTCCTATAAATGAATAAAAATGCATTCAGGATTGAAAAGCATTCATTTTAACATTCGTGAATCAATATTTCTGAAAATCTGAATCCATTTCAATTCATTTCAATCTATTCTCGTTTGCTGGGATGTTAAATTTAAGTGAAATTAAATGCTATGTTTATATTTAAATGAAATTAAATGCTATGTTTATATTTAAGTGAAATTAAATGCTATGTTTATATTTTTAATTTAGGCAATGCCTCTGTGATATTTAACATATGCAATATATAGATTTAACAGATATTTACTAATACAAAGAGAAAATAACACAATTTAAAATACTTTACCTTTTTGCATGTAAAATATGTAACTAGTTATATAGAACATATTTCTTCAGCAAAATTAACATTTATAATATATTAAATCAACACACACATTTTTATTTATTTATTCTTAGGTCCGTATTCAGAATGATGTTAGAGCGTTAATATGATATAATTTACGTTACTATAGAATTTTAGAGATAAAAACGTTTTTGAATACGGACCTTAGAATTTATATTTTAAAACTACATTATTTTTATGTTATTTGTTTACTTACCTACCCAGCAAACAAGAATGGATTAAAATGGATAAAAATTGTTTTCTATCCGAATGCGTATTTTATATATATATAAAAAAAATAGCGAATATTTTTTTTGGATTTAATTAGATTCAATTAGATGCAATTGAATTGAAAAACTGCATTTCCTATTGCATTTCAAAATTTTGAATTAAATAGTATTCACAATGCACAGAAAAAGCTAATATTATAATATTTTTAGATTGAAAGGCATAGAGAGATGCTTCGTGTAATTCCTATAAATGAATAAAAATGCATTCAAGATTGAAAAGCATTCATTTTAACATTCGTGAATCAATATTTCTGAAAATCTGAATCCATTTCAATTCATTTCAATTTATTCTCGTTTGCTGGATATAAATTGTTATTTTAACATTGAGAAATGTTAAATTTTAATTTAACACAAAATATTCAAATAACACAATCATATTATGTTAAATTAAACTCGAATGTTAAAAATTCAACACAACTACTGGACTAGTTCATATACCACATTGCGCGTTCTCTTTCCAACTCCTGTTCTCCTACTTATTGTAGTATACAGTGTTGGAACAGATATCGTTTGAAAGATATCTATCATAGATCATTAAAATGAAAAGGTCAGGGTCAGCAAACGAAAATGGATTTAAATGGATTGAAAATTTTCAATCCATCCGAATCCATATTTTAAATCTATAAAAATGAATTGAATTTCATATAAAAAATTTGTATACGGAATTGAAAGTTTAAATAAAAGTGTAAAAGTTTAAATAAAATAAGCAGTAATTACATGCAATTCTATAATTATTATTTTAACAAGTAGTTATACAAAAAATATAGCTGGATAATAAAAGAAACGTATTAATATAAAATATACACAAAAGCGATTAATTTATTAAATTATTAAAAATAAGGAATTTACATATGTAACATTTATTATACATATTTACGTAGTTCTTTTTATGTTTCTTTTAATTATTAAATGAAGTAGAATTTATGATTTATATTTTTACGGTACAACTTTTTTTTAACTCAGTTGAATTAAAACGAAAAATTTCTTATTCATAATTCTGAATAAAATAGCATTCATGATGTATTCTTAAATGAAACAATGGATTTTCTACTCACAATTTTGAATAGTATTCATGGCTCATTTTAAGAAAATAGACCATTAAAAGAAAAACTTTTTTTTATTCAATTGGATTGAAAAACTGCATTTCTCATTCAGAATTTTTAATTAAGCAGTATTCACGATGCATACCATACCACACAAAATACTATAATATTATTTTTAAATTGAAAAGCATAGAAATATATTCCATGCCATTCCTATAAATGAATAAAAATGCATTCAATTGAAAAGGAATAGACATTTGTTTCATGCATTCCTTTAAATGAATAAAAATGCATTCAGGATTGAAAAGAATTCAATTTAACATTTATGAATCCGTATTTCTGAAAATCTGAATCCATTTTAATCCATTACAATCCATTCTCGTTTGCTGGGAGCCATATTCAAAAACAGATCTTTAAACATGTAAACCTTTCAAAATTTAAATGATTATCTAACAATATATATTACCATGAAAAATAACTGATATATTATTCAAGGTCTCAGTTCAAAGTAAACATACATAAAGCGTGTTCTCAAAAAATATAAACCTTAAAAAAGTAAACGATTATCTGATAATATATTATCTAACAACATACATTACCATGAAAAGTAACTGATATATTATTCAAGGTCCCAGTTTAAAGTGAACATACATAAAGCGTATTCTCAAAAATGTACACCTTTAAAAATTTAAATGATTATCTGATAATATATTACTATGACAACTGATGTATTATTAAAAATGCCAGTTCAAAGTGAACATACATCAAGTGTATCCTAAAAAATTTAAACCTTTAATTTAAAAAAATTTAATTAAAATGTATCTTAAAAAAATTAAACCTTTAAAAATTTTAATGATTATATGATGATATATTATCCTGACAAGTAACTGATATATTATTGAAGGTGCCAATTCAAAGTGAACATACATAAAATATTATATATTTTATCTAAATTTAATAATATGTAATCATAAAAAGTAACTCATATGTTATTGAAGGTGCGAGTTTAAAACGAACATACATACATACAAGTAAAACAGATTACAATTTGATTCTAGAAAATAAATGCTATATGTTATTCTTAGTGCACAAAATAAAAGTTTATTGAGATTCGATTTGAAATTTATACTAGCCCATACAATGAAAAATAATTGCTTGTAATTCCAGAGTACCAATTTGTTAATGACTCGGAAAAAGAAGATGGCGGCTTGCTCTAAAAAAACTTTCGATGGATGGAATATTGAAGTAAAAGAATTTAAAAAATGATTCAGATTAAAAGCTTCTAATCTTTTTTTAGTCAAATTTCGAATTTTCATATCAATTCCGATTTTGAGTTTATACCGTATTTTCAGCAAGTGATTTATTAATCAAAAAATATTACCTTATAGCCTGAAACTAGCAAATATTAAGTAAACCCAAAATTCATAAATAAAAAGTTTTCGGGTCAAGTACAAAAAAGCTATACGGTTAAAAAATTTACTGATTATTTGACGTAATATATTCACTTCGTTATAGAGCTTTTGAAAATATCATTCTAATGTAATACTTTTCGTATTTCAAGTTTGTAATAATTAAGGGGATGGACGGAATAAAGGTCTAATTAGAAAATCTTGATTTTAATAAAAATTAAAATAACTTGCAACTTTTTTATTATACATAAACGAGTATCAAACAGTATCAAATAAATTTATGTAATATTTTTAAGAAGTTATAATATTTCTCTACGATCAATATTATATAAAAAAGCTAATTTCTTAAAAAAGAGCCTAAGTAGAGTTGTGCCTTTAATTCACCCAATTCCTCTCAATTACTCTGTAAATATTTCGATATTATTTCTAAGTGGACACCAAGAAACTCATCAAAGTTTTGAGAGTAGGCTGCTATGTTCTTTTTCCGAGTCATTAACAAATTGATACTCTGGAATTACAAGCAATTATTTTTCATTGTACGAGCTAATATAAATTTCAAATCGAATCTCAATAAACGATTTTTATTTTGTGCACTAAGAATAACATACAGCATTTATTTTCTAGAATCAAATTGTAATCTGTTTTACTTGTATGTATGTATGTTCGTTTTAAATTCGCACCTTCAATAACATATAAGTTACTTTTCATGATTACATATTATTAAATTTAAATAATATATACTTTGTATATGTTCACTTTGAATTGGCATCTTCAATAATATATCAGTTACTTGTCATGATAATATATCATCATATAATCATTTAAATTTTTAAAGATTTAAATTTTTAGAACACATTTTAAATAAATTTTTGAAGGTTTAAATTTTTTAGGATACACTTTATATGTATGTTCACTTTGAACCGACATCTTTATTAATGTATCAGTTACTTGTCATGATAATATGTTATCAGATAATCATTTAAATTTTTAAAGATTTACATTTTTGAGAATACGCTTTATGTATGTTCACTTTAAACTGGGACCTTGAATAATATAATATATCAGTTACTTTTCATGATAATGTATATTATTATATAATATATTATCAGATAATCGTTTACATTTTTAAAAGTTTACATTTTTGAGAATACGCTTTATGTATGTTCACTTTAAACTGGAACCTTGAATAATATATCAGTTACTTTTCATGGTAATGTATATTGTTAGATAATATATTTTCAGATAATCGTTTAAATTTTAAAAGGTTTACATTTTTGAAGATCTGTTTTTGAACATGGCCTGACCTTTTCATTTTAATGAATTTTTAGGGATATATCACCTACTTTTCAGAGATATACAGGACAGCTTTCTAGTAATGCAAGTATCACAAATGTATATATTTTTGACTCTTAACTTTCTATAAACTACAATTTATGCAATACAGTTAGAAAAAATTGAAGCATATGGTATATACATATAATTATATATCATATGCATATATATTATATATTTAATAGTATATATGTAACTCATAATTATAATAAATATTGACTATACGTTACATATTTATTTCAATTGTAACAGAATGAATTCTTAATATTCTATGAATATACTTAAAATAAAGAATTTAGGCCCATTCTCGTGAGGATGCAACCATATTTTCTTCGTCTCTGCGATTTTAACACAATTTTTAATATTTATTTTGATTACAATAGAATGAATTTTTAATATTGTATGAATATAATTTTTTTTTGTTTGCGAGGAGGAGAAAAACACACATAGCCCCTCATCCGGAATGCTCCCGAGGAGAATCTAACCGGACTAACAATCAGGAGCCGGTCTCTTGATTGTGCAGGATTCGATGAGTCTATGTATAAAAAAGGACAGCGGACATCATCGTTTACCTGTTAAAAAACTCCCCCTATTCAGCATCTCCGCAAGCTACATTGGGCACACCTCGGAACCGCCCCGGCGATATTTCATCAGGGTGCACTCAAGTTGTATACGCTCCCACCTCCATGATATTCGAAGTTAGAATCCTACCCTATATTATATTAAATACTATCGTAATATGTATATTATATATACATTTTTACATGGTTATTATCAGGCCCGAGCTAAAAGAGCCCTTTGCCTCTTCAGGGCCTGACGCTCCCATTCGGCCCGCTCCTTCTTGCGAGAAGGAGACCGCATGACGGTCTCGCAGAAATCCGCGAGAGCTGTCCAACACGCAGCGGAGCACATAGCTGCCCTGACAATGGAGCCGTACGTCCTGTCAAGGACATCGAGCCCCAATCGCTCAAAAAGTGACGTCCTCTCCGCAGCCCAAGATGGGCAAAACAATAGCATGTGCATCGCCGTATCCGCAGTCGCACGAATGCGCACAAATCGGCGACGTGTTACGCTGTATCTCAAAACAGTAGACCTCAAAGCATCCATGACCCATTAAAATCTGGATCATGCGAATTATATGAATATACTAAAAATAAAGAATAGGCCCCTCCATCGTCCATTTTTTGAGAACGCAACGACATTTTCTTCGTCTATTTGATTTTAACACGATCTTTGACATAGAGATTTGACACAAAGATTGGGAAATTTTTTGGTTGATTTCTTAAATCATCGTATTCCAATCAGTGTTTGAATTATTTTGGAAGCGCGCTGCCGTAAAATGTCCAACACTTTCGCTCCAAGATGGAAATGCCTTAAGGGTTGCAGATTATAATCTGGCTACCAAGTTAGCCTGGGAGGGGAATATGGACATACAATTTATTGGAAAAAAATCAGAGTTTTTAAACTCATCCTTTAACAAAATACACGACAAAATCGGAGAAATGCAATATAGACTTTGCAATAATACATTCCAATAAGTCCTTGGCATCGGAACTGTGGAATTTTGTGATGCGTTCATTGAATAACAGAGAATGCGGTACTTTAGAAGCTGCGGACACACTGTTAGGAATCCCTTGTATGGTACAGATAGTGATATCATTGTCAAATGGATTGACGTTAATGAGATGAGAAACAGAAAAGTTAAAACATTTAATGAAATTAAAGCTCTCGATGAAAATTCTACGAATATTTATTGTCCATCGCTCATCGATGATTACTATTCAAGCAAATCTAAGGAATTAGAATCATTTAATTTGTACGATTTTGCCAGATTTTGGGAAATTCGAAACAGATGCCAAAAAATGACGAAGTCAAGTGTTATAAACTTGTATCAGTTTATTTAAAAAAAAAATGAAAAAAGTGTTATTTAATTAATCATTATCGATTTAATGTAAAAATTGAACTCGAAAAATATTTTTACTCGTTGCTCCTTTTGTTTAAACCGTGGAGAGATTTGAGTGAAATCAAAGGTGCATACGAGACTTACACGGATGCCTTTAAGAATTCAATGTCTGCTTTGACGAAGGCGATGAAATTCACAAAAGGCTCGAAGAAATACAGCTTTTGTGTGCGTTGCTGAATTAATCGAGAAGCGCGAAAATGATCTGAAAACAGCAGATAGAGACAAATTCGATGACAATGAACTGGATTGCAATCCGATAGAGGCTGACAACGCGATGAAAGATCTGATAGATTTTGGTAAGATTGACACCCCGATTAATTTATCGCAAATGATGCGCGATTGAAGGCGACGAAGGCCAGAAAAGTCTTCGATAGAATATGTCAAGTTTTACAAAATAAAAATCAGATTCTGCGACTGTACATAAGTAGCGAGGGTGATACAGGAAAAAGTTTCTTATTGAAACGATTAAACATTGGATCAGATACATTTAAAAAAAGCGACTGCCATATCTGCTCCCACGGGTATCGCGGCATTCAATATCAATGGCTTGACGATCCATAAAATGTTTCAACTACTCGTTACCCATGAATCTATGGCAAAATATACGACTAAAGAGTGTCGAATTAAAGACTGTCGAATTATTTATAATTGATGAAGTATCTATGATTTTGAATGTGACATTTATGTTTATCAATCTACGATTATGTGAAATTGATACGACAGATGATAGTTTCTTTGGCAGAAAACACATTCTTTTGTTTGGAGACTTGTTGCAGTTTCCCTCTGTAAAAGAAACAATCTCCGAAAATATCTCGATCAGAAATTCACAAGTATTTAAGTACCATGGATGGATCTGATTCTTGGAGAGGATTGTTCGATTGCAACGAACTCTTGATTAATATACGACAAAGATGCGACAACATATATCGTAATATATAATACTTTCTAAAATACGCATAAGTTTGGTAACGGATTTCGATATCAATGTTCTTCAGTCGAGAAAAATCTATTTTAAAGGAAGTAGTTGCGACGAAAGATTGAATAAACTTTGCACTTATATGAATCAATTACCAGTTGATACAATATGTTTATTACGCACGTGATATTTGTGCAAGGTTTTGAACATGGCAATGCTCGATAAAATTGACGGTAATAAAATTGTACTGATAGCAGAAGATGATGCCAATTGTGCTCCAGCATTGAAAAAAAGAGTGCACAAAATTTTGGAAAACAAAGATGATAAAGTTTTGGAAACAGCTTGAAAGAGTAATAGCGATTAAAATTGGCGCTAAATTAAGTGATGATTCGACGAGACATTGATGTAACTTTGGGACTTGTCAATGGAATGATAGGCAATGCAGTTAATCGCTCTGTTGATGGAAATCATATTGATTCCATTAAAATAGTTATTTCGGATAACAAAGAAATCACAATAACGAAAGTAGATATTAAATTCGAAATATTTCACAAAATGATGGTACATCGGAAATAATTTCCATTGTCTCTCAGTTATAATTATACACTTAGGAATAACTATACACAAAAGTCAAGGAATTAGGAAAGATGGAAGGGCCCATTCTTTATTTTAAGTATATATTCATAATGACACGCGTTACATCAACTGGGACGTAATGTCAGTTGTATAACGACACGTTGCAATAATGACCATCAGTACACATCCACTAGAAATCTGTACATATATTTTTTTTATCTCTTTATCGACCAGTTTTAAAATCGATCTATTTTAAATATATATATACTTGTCATTTTGTAATTATAACATTGAGAATGACCTTATCGGGCTCGAAACGTCGTTTGTTATTTTTAATTTGGCTTAGTTCTTTATACTTATATGCAAACTTTGAATAGTCTTTTTATCATATTTCGGTAACTTTTACTTAATATTATTCCTTTTCTTCAATTTGGAATTATTACTTATTAACATAGACCTGCGGCATACGATACTTGTCTTCCCACTACATTTCTTGCAACCTTCGGAAGGTTAAGCAGTCACCTATCTCACGTTAAGAAGTTATGAAAAATGGAATAGGGAATTCAACTCTGATGATGCTGATTATGACATATTAGTCAATGTAATGATCCTTAGTGACCATCGAAAGACAATTCACTTCCGATAACCTTGATTCTTCCACACATTATGAAAATCATCAATCTTCGAACCATCAATCTTTGAACAATCTTCGGAGAATTGTAGCAGTCACCCATCACGCATTACAAAGCTATCTAAAAAAATTAAAACGATTCTTACTCATATTATTAAACTATTTAACTCATTATTATTTAACTCATATTATTATTAAAGTCATGACCCTGAATGACCATCGGACACTTTCAACAGACGGGGGTGAGAGAGGACGAAAGAGAGTGAGATAGAGCGAAAAAGAAAGGGGTGGTAAGGGTGGGTGGTGGAGGAGGAGGGGGTGAAGTTGGTCGAAGTTGGGGGAGATGTGAGTGAAAGGTGAGAGAGAAGAAAGATGCATATGATTGCGGACAAAAAAGAAGGAGAAGAAGGAGATGTTACTTCATTTTTCATGAAAATCATCATTTTTCGACCGCTTGTATGCCTAGAACGGCTTGACCGATTTTTATTTTTTTTGACTCAAATTATTCGTGGCGATGCCGCCTTTCAGGATATGTTACGTGCGATTCAAAATTTTTTATATTTTAGTAGTTCTGTACCCCCCCCCCTCCCAAAAAAATGGACTTTGGTGGCTCGGGATAAAAAACTTTGTAGTGTCTTTATGTCTTTTACTTTTTTTTTAACATAGCCAGAGACACTACCATGTCTCCTGATATAGGTATAGATATTACGTAGAAAATGTATTTAGGTATAAGTACAGATACATTTTTTTATAATTACCTAAGTATAGATACAGATATAAGAAAAAAGTATCCGAAAATTTAGGTACTTTTTAGGTACTTAAAAAAAAAGAAAAAAAGAAAAATGAGAAAGTAGGAAAAAATAGAGAAAACGAAAAGAGGAAAAGATATAAGCAGCATAAAATGCTACATTTTATTTGTTTGTTTTAATACATAAAAGAATATCTTTATAATGAAAATTTAAGTCAAAACAACAAGCTGCGTTCATATACAGGAGGTTCCCGACCTACGAGATCACTTCTCATGAGTGGATACATTGAGAGAAATTATTTTGTTATAGGAACAAATCAAGGGAAAATAAATGTGATATTTGTTAAGAAAACGATCGATTAATTACTATTGCAAATTATTTCTAATTCGTCAATGTAATAAATAATCAATAGTATCGCTAGCAAATAAAAGGTTCATATGTATGTATACATAGAAGTCGTAGACGATCAACGAGGATCTTAAATCATAAGAAATTGATCAATTCTAGTCAAGTATTCTCTCTATATTTACCTGTAATTGATCAGTTTCCCTCGACTTAAGTTATCCCACGATCGTCTGTAGATTTGTTCGCATCGCATGTTCTAACACGTTCCAATATGCTCCTATTATAGCTCTTACTCCAACGCGCTTGATAGAATGAGCAGAAACTATGATAGGAGCATGTTAGAGCTTGCGACGCGAACAAATCTTATGATTTTTATGATAAACGATCCTAAAGTCTATCCAAAAGATAGGTTAGGTTCTATATAGTTTGCTTCTATTACTAATAATTAGTTGGTATAGCAGACTAGTAACAATCACAATAAATCAATTGTTGTCACATATTTGCCGATTACTTGTTAAATATAAACTGGTGGCTTATTAAATTAACAAAATCCTTTCTCTCATTGTCAGTGTAGAACGGATTAAATTAAGTCGAAAAGTTCTTTATCATTTTGCAATTTTCGCAATACTTTAAGAGATAATAATTTCTAAAGATCACCAAATAAGCACATATCCATCAAGACTGTGCCTATCAGTTGCAATCGATTATCGCGCGAGGACTACTTGATAGGCGCGCGCTAAGCACCATAACTCAAGCAGCGCTTATTATCAAGCAGTCATTATTCTCCGCGCAACAAACGATCTTGACCAATAGGCGCATCCTTGATGGTATCCGCGCGGATACGTGCTCATTAAGTGATATTGGGTCAATAAAAAACCGCGAATACTTTTTAGATGACCCAATATTTAGAAATTAATACTCCTAAAGTATTGCAAAAATTGCACAATGATAAATAATATTTAGAAATAATATTTAGAAATTAATACTCCTAAAGTATTGCAAAAATTGCACAATGATAAAGGACTTTTCGACTCACAAGGAAAGTTTCACAACTGTCCGGAACCGATTTGATTCTCCATGAAATATGTTGTCAAACACGAAGATCTAAGAGACACGTATTTTTTTATATGCTCTAAATCATGTTTAAGAGGTTAAACATTTCTTTGAAAAAAAAACGGTATTTTTCTTTCGAATATCGTCAGAAGTATAAAAGATGGAAAAAAATTTTTTAAACAAAAGTTGTACGGTTTCAAGAGTACTTCAATGTTGTAAAAAAAAAAATTTTTTTAAATTTTTTTACCACTATTAACTATTGTTAAACAAAAAAAATTTTCAAAACTTTTTTTCTTCATAACATTGAAGAACTCTTGATGATTTATAGTATAGTATAGTAAAGATGATTTATATTGGGTCATCTAAAAAATATCCGCGGTTTTTTGTCACTAGATGGTCAACACATCTAGTAACAAAAAACCGCGGATACTTTTTAGATGACCCAATAGATAATAATCAAAAATTAAGTTTCTAATATAACATGAAATAAAATGTATAAGTACCTTGTGTATTTAAAACTTAAAAGATCCAAAAATAACTAGATACAAATACAGGGCCCTTATTCTTGAAAAGAAACGTATACAAAAGTCTAAGAAAAAACTACAGTGTATGTTACGTATACTATAGTATTTTCCTACTAGAATTTCGTATATGTTTCTTTTCAAGAATAGAAACCCAGGTATCTCCGCCTATAAGGATCTAGGTAATGCATTTAGATACAGCTAAAGTATCTAGATACTGAATCTAGATCTTTTTACCTAGATAGGTTCCAACACTGGTAGTATGCAGTTCTCTTATTCGTCCATTACAGTTCTATATCCATGCTTTCTTTCTTCCTCTCGTTGCAATCCTGTACTTATCATGTTATTCGCGTTCTTCTTTTTTTTCGCTAATTCTTTTTCCTTTACACTGATTTTATTGAATAAATATGGTAACAGATGTTTATCTAAATAAATTGTTGCATGGAAACCATACAATATAATTATAATTATCATATACTAGTTATAAATATAAATGATTAACCAAATTTTTTTTATATTGTGTAATATATTTTTTTTACATTGTATAATCATTGTATACAAATAAAAATAAACATATATAATTAATACAAATTAAATGACCTCTCTTACTTAGACTCACATTTATTATATCATAATTAACAATTAGAATTACATCAATTAGCAAACAAATCTATTTGTCAAATCAACAAATATAATATTAGTGGATATATTTATTAGATACATTATATATATAATAAATATTTAGGACAATTGAATCAAAGTTCACATATATCACAAAATAAGTATAAGAAACAACTATGAAAACATCATCCAGAAGTTTTCGCATGAAACTTATAGAGTAGAATATGATTTTTATTTATATAATCATACACATAAATAGTAATATAATTATCATAAAATTTTTTAAATTCAATGTCAAGCTTTAGTATTAATATATCTCGTCATACTTATTAACGAGATTTACATAAAATACACTTGAAGGTTTCCAAAATTTGAGGATCTCTGTATGCTATCAAACCTGCACGATTAGAGAAATTTGTGCCAATAGGTAAATAATTCACGCTTAGATTGTCTGAATCTGGATTCACAATAAATTCTTTAAATTCGATGATATTTCCACCAACCGAAGACAAGAGAGCTTGTGGTCCACACGTGTCCCATTTATAAGTGGAACCCTTTGACAAGATGTAGGCAGCCGCCTGTCCAATAGCGACGCTCAGTATCTTGTATCCTGCTCCTGTTGCTTCCACTAATCTGAATCCACTGTTTAACAATTTTGATTTTACATCTGCATCTTCAAAGTGGCTAAGTAAAATGATTTTATCGACGTTGCACGCATTACTTATGGAAGACTTCGCGACTCCACCTCCCAGAAAACCCCAGTAACATTTTCCTGTCCATCTGTCCAATCAATACAAAATATAATGAAGTGGAAAATATAAAACGAGTTTTGTTTGTTTGGTTAAATATATTTTTTAATAATTCCAATATAAAACGTATATAAACGTTTATGTCAAAAAGAATTGCTTTTAGTCTTAACAAATATGTACTTTAACATACTAGCAATTTAAAATGTCGAAGTTGGATCTTCAAAATAATTGTTTTAAAATAATTCAAACTTAAATTATTAATATATACTATGTGCTTGCATATATACCATATTATAATTTTTTCGAATTGTGTCGAATTGTTGTCTCGATAATGGCTTAGTACGCTCGTACGGAATACAAGAGATCCGGGTTCAAGTCCCGGCCGGGATAATATTTTTCGCAATGAATTTATTAACAGTTTGTCAACATACTAATATCTTTATAACATGCTTGATTGTATCATCAAATTATTAAAATTGCTTGTCAATTTAATTCGCGATTACTAGAATAGTTTTAATTATGTTTATAGTCCGGAAAAATAATTCGCAGCACAGTTCGAAAAGACTACAATATGATATATATGCAAATACATATATAGTATATATTAGTAATTCAAGTTTAAATTATTTTAAAACAATGAAGATCCAACTTCGACCGTAATAGGCATTTTAAATTTCTAGTATTGATTGTGTTCTCACAAAAGGGATCTAAAATAAAAATTCTTAATATTGTTTGCTTTAAAATATATGAAGATGTTAATAAAAGAAAAAAGAAAAAAATTATTATATATACATTGTGAAAATTTTATTAAAAGTATATCGTTTTAACATCATCTATATACGAGAAGCGCCATTTTGGATCAATGTATATTCTTTAAATGAATTTATCTCAGAAATGACTGCGTGCCGATTACTTTCGAACTTTCAACACAATAAATCTGAAATATTAATAATCCCCCTAAATTAAATAAGAAACATCTTAAAACCTGTGAAGAAGGTCTTGATAGTTTAACTGTGAGAACACTCACATGGAATGTTAAAAATTCAGTTTCGATCTTTGGCCAAGGCAATAATTTTTTTACAGGTTTTAGATATTTCTTATTAAATTCAGGATTATTAAAATTTTAGATTGATTGTACTAAAAATCCAAAAGTAATCAGCGTGCAGTCATATTTCTGAGATAAATTTATTTAAAAAATACATACATATATATTAATAAATAAACTGTCTTGTTTCTAAATCTTATTGTTTATTGTTTCTATTCTACATACTTACTGCGAGTCTATATTGATGCAAAAAGGTTGATTAACTACACCCAAAACTGGTACTCCAATACTTTTTTTGTAGACTCCAATTAAGACAGTGACACAACGTAACCCACTCAAATATAAACCGGTCTGTTCATCTATTGTCTCCATTGCACTTATGTAATCTGCTGTTGAATCTACAAAAGTTCCACGAATTGCTCCACAGGTATGCATTTTATCAAACTATAAAACAAACAAAAATTCTTACAAGTGTTGTGTCTCAGTTTACAGGCCAATTATGATTCTTAACAAAAGAGACATAGCTTTATGTTTTACCATAATACTGTCCAACTTTTGTATTTTTTTCAGTCTTTTCCTGAATTAATGTAAATTTACTAAATATCAATAGAATATAATAATTTAAAATTACTGTTCTTACTTGTATACTTACCAATTGGATCTATCCAAATACCAAGGTCTTCTATATTGACATCGAAATCATTGGGAATGTCTAATGTGATTGGCACGTCTGAAAGCTGAATGTCTTTATGGACTTCGGCAGCAAGCAACTCTGCTGCCACAGCATCATTGCCCATAACTTTTGTCAGTAGCTGTGTTGTATCTTTGCTACATGAACAGATCTCAACAATAATAGATTCTCCCAAGGTATTGCTGAATACATTGGTTTCTTCACCTTGTACTATCTTGGCCAACTCTGGAAACTATTTATGACAAATTAAAAGTTTTACATTGGAAATAAGTTATTATATTAAGATATTTTTCTAGCATTTTGTACTTCCATATTTAAAATTTATTTTTTGTACTCACTTCAATTTCTATGTCATGTCTGATAGTTTCTTGAATGAGAACATCAGCTAACGTTTTGAAATCTTGGAAAAAACGAGGGTTTTTCTCTTCTAAAGATTTTTCTTGTACTAACAATTGAAAAAGAGCTTCCTTTTGCCGGCAAATTCTAGCAATGTTTGCTGCCTTCTCTGAGGCTTGTAAAAGAACTTTTAACAATTTACTACCGTTTCTCATTTTCTTTTTTTCTAAAGACACAGTATGTTTGCTAAAAAAAAATAAAAATTATTTTTATATCATTATCGTGTGCACATCTATTAAAAAAGAAAGAATATACTTTGTGTCATAAGAAACCTTACAAGCTCTATTGGACGTGTATGTATGCGTAAAAATTAAAGATATTGATTTTCTCTATAAATATAGCATAAGCACAATGTTCTTTGTGCACAATGAACAATATCAATAATTACTTCAAAATAGCATCACTCAGAATTAATAATTTCGTTCTATTACAAAAAAATAATCGCGGCTGCAGAAAATATATCAAAACAGTTATGAATGCGGATATATTTTATAAGGCGCGATTAAAATTTTTAATTATAACAGAAAAAATTACACAAATACAAAAGTACTCTTCCGTAAAAATTCGCAAATGAGAAAATTGCATAGAAATCTTTTTAAGGGTGCATTCCGAATTACGCATGGAGTGATATGATATTATTTGATATAACATCATTTCATCCTGTTTTATTCTTCGGTGAACGAAGACAAATGATGCATTGTGCGCCTTGTACCTAATTCGGAACGCACCCTAAAAAAATTATGTATGTATATAGCTAAATAACTTTAGTAAGATGAAATGATATAAGTAGTAAATATTTACCTAAAAGTTCAGTATAAATGACCGACAGGTGAAAAAAAGATTTATATACAGGATGTAGAGTGAAGGCCTTAAACTAGTATGGCTTATAATGCTAATATCAACATTAGTTGACATTAGGTGGCTAGTGACAGCCAGTAACACCAGAGAGAAACCTGAGAGAGGATATGAGGGCCTTTTTGTAACCGCAAAATACTTGTGCACTATCGCCCTCTGAAGAAGTAGATGTCAACTACATAACAACATCCACTTTTTTTGCGGTGCTCCTGATGGAAATAAATCATTGAAATAATTAAAATTTATCTAAATTAATTGAGATTTCAACGATTTCAATAATTTATTTTCATCAGGGACACTGCAAAAAGTGGACGTTATTACGTAGTTAACTTCTTCAGAGGACAATAGTGCACGGAGGCATTTTGCGGCTACAGGAAAAATAAAGGCTTAAACACAATAGGCACAGGCAATAGGAAATAATGAGTCAACTAATCAGAGTTCTGGGATATAATATCGAACTACACATCAGAGCTCTGACGGCTCGTTATTCCCTGTTGGCTGTGCCTATTGCCTGTGCCTATTGTGTTTAAGTCTTAAAGCTCTTAATATTGGGTCATCTAAAAAGTATCCGCGGTTTTTTGTCACTAGATGTGTGTTGATGGTCATATATCTAGTGACAAAGTACCGCGGATACTTTTTAGATGACCCAATATATCGGGTGCTTTCCATTTGATGACACAAGTCGACATAAACGTCGTCCTATTCTTCTTGACATTCAGAGAATAACAAAGATAGAACGACACTTGTGTCGACTTGTGTTAACCTGTGTCATCAAATGGAAAACACCGCTCAAAGTAGCGTAAGGCTGCATTTTCATGCTGACGCTCGATTTAAGCATCAAACATCACGTGATCAAAATTAACGAATATCAAGCATCAATTTTGATCACGTGACCTGTTATGACGCTGAAAATGAGCGTCAGTATGAAAAAGCAGCCTTACGCTACTTTGATGGGTTTTCCATTTGATGACACGGGTCGATACAAGTCGATATAAGTGTCATTCTATCTTTGTCACTCTCTGAATGTCAAGAAGAATAGAACGACGTTCATGTCGACTTGTGTCATCAAACAGTGGAAACAGCAACCAATCAGCTGGGTGATATGAACAATGGTGTAAAATAAATATTTTTTACGCTATTGTAAAAATCGCTTCGTTGATTAGTTACTGCTTCCGTTGCTTGACGCTTGATGCTTGCATGTGAATGCACCTTTAAGATAACTTTATACCTAGTTCACACTAGACGCGATGGGCGATGAACGACGAGCGATATCCAATAAAAGCTGAGCTTTTTCTGACGTGACGACATAAAGCAAAGCTCTTATTGGATATCGCTCGTCGCTCATAGCTTATCGCCTCCAGTGTGCAGTAGGCATTATGGTGGATAGTCTTCCTTAATTCCACAATTCATAATCGGAGAGAATCCGCCATTTGCGATCGTTCGCTGCATTCGTTTGCATTTCGTTCCGCTTGTTGTGATCTTGTCAGCTTTTCTTCATATTACGCGTAGTGTCATCAGTTTGGTAAGAAAACTTCAAAAAAAAAGACTTTACTATAACACATAAATCAGTATCTCGGTAAATCGGAGTTTGTTTATCGATTCCTTCACTGAGTATCGTGTATGCAAAAATCCGGTTCCACGATCGATCGTATTTTAGAATTGCTTCGGTCAGACATTTATTATCCGCCACGTCGTTTTGCGAGGCTTTGGTACAAAATAAGATGTGTTCTGTTTTGCGGTTATAGCACTTATAAGTATTATTTGTCCTTATTTCATAGCAAGAATGAATTGTTTACAGCGTGTGAACGTTAAAACGGAATGCACTCATAGTACATATGTATTGTATTTTTTATATTGTGAGATTTTTCTATTTGTATATAATAATAGTTTAATAGGACAAATTTCATTTTTACATGCAGCGCACGTGTTAACATTATATAAAATTTAATTCAAATTCAATTTTTTTTAAATTAAAGAAATGTAAAAAGTGAGCAAATCGCAAAGTAAAAAAAATGTGCTCTTAATATGAAATGCCCCAGGAAATCGTAAAACGCAAAATATATCGGTATTGCAATTAAAAAACTTTATTTCATGTTTCTAAAACGTAAACAAACAGCCAGCGTGCGTGAAAAATAAGCATGTGATAGATTATACCCAGAACTCGTCTTCAGGTAGTTGGAATCAAGCATCGCAGAAACAGGTACTCGACGTTCCGGTTGTCCTTTTCATTATTGTACAATAACATTTACTCTTTAGCAACGATTTTCACTATACAATAGGTGCATGGGTTATTTCATATTAGAAATATCCTGGATATCTCATATTACGATTTTCATGGCCTTATGGTTTTACATTATTATCAAATCGAACTTCTGTAATTAAACAATTTAACATATCCTATATTTTTCTATTAGTATGGCCTTATCACTACATGAAGAATTTACCAAATATTTATTTATTAAATAATAAACAAGGTTTAAAGGCTCATCTCAATGAAATTTGAAGCATTTAAATTCTAAAATCTTTTTACAATGACTACAGGCATGATCTAATAATGAATTTTCTACTAGTTTTTAGTTCTAATAGTTTTCAATCGAAGAGCAATAAATTCATGGTGGAACCAATAGATAGTGTTTATTAGTTTAGTAAAAACGCTGCTATTTTATACTAGGTGCCTATCTCAAATAGGTGGCTTTCCTTTATATATATAATGCGTGCGTGCGTGTGTGTGTATGATGATGTGTATTATTTTATCGTTGCTTTGGAGAACAGACTTTATTTTAGAATTCTGCTTCTATTAATTTCATTGTTATGTTAACAAGATGTATGCACGCACAGTATATTTATTTAGTATTAAAATTTAATTATTGAAAAATCCATATAGCATAATTATTACAGTAATTATCATTTTTATATAAAAGAGAAAGGAAAAGAAAATAAAAAATAAAAGACTAAATTTTTCAAAAATTATTGCAGAATATCCTGCATAGATTGGTTTCCTTTTGAATAAGAATATATTCAAGATTAATATGTTATTTTTAAATGTTGATCAGCATTAGGTACACAATGGCATATAATCGTGGAGTGAAAAGAGATTCCTTTAATCGAGGGACTTTCAATCGGGGTGTTAGTGGAGGTGGTGGTAATAGAGTTGGCAATAACAGTGGCATGGGAAGTAACATGGGCGGAGGACTAAGTGGGAGTGGTGGTATGGGTGGAATGAATCCCTGGGAGGGTGGCATGATGCCTGGCAGAGGCATCCTGCCTACACCCAACAACAATCTCTCCTTGGCATCGCCGCAGGCACAACTAGCAATCGCCAGCAACCTCCTTACAAATTTACTCCGTAGTCAGCAAGAGGCGCAACCACAGGTAAGAGAATCATTTCTATTTGATAATTCAGTTTTCATGCTCAATAGTAGAATTCTTTAATGTCTTATCTGCAATTGTCGCTATTGTTAACTAACAATAGTCAATGAAAGCCATGCTTTTTTCCAGAATAGTCCTTGTCATTGGCTATCACTAATTAACAATAGTGACGATCGTCAATAAGATGTTAGAAAATCCCAGTGGACTTATTATATTTAAGTGGGCTCATTTAACTCATTCATTTAAAAGCAGGTACCGTCTCTTATGAGTCTGGGAAATAATTATTCTGGACCTGGACCAAATTATCCCACTCAGCAGAATTATTCCTCCGGACGATTCGGATCTAACGATCGACCGGCACGGCATCCCATGAAGAATCAACGTCCTCAGCCATACAACAAGGTAAGAAATTTCGATTATAGAATACGTCATTTTTTCTTACAAACCAAGGTAATCTTTAAGACAATTCTTTTGACACCTGCTTACGATTTTCTTCTGTATCGTAAACAGGAGTTATAAAATGACAATCTGTAGTCCACGCTTTCTCGCATGGACACAAACTGTCTTTAACTATTTCCGAACGTTATAAATTCCCTTTCTTAAACGAATCGATTATATAGGATATATCGCTCACTCAATTAGACACGGCTGGCGAAATCACTAAGATATAATAATTCTTGTTGATGGATCAGCTTTGTCTGAAACGGCTTCTAAATATCATCTATAAAAATATTTCATTAAAAGAGCACTGTTGAAAAACGTGTTGATTTCAGAATGTAAATCTCAATTTACTACTGGAAGTTCACTGAAGGTTTTTGCAGGACTGAATTTGTATATTGCCTCACATTACAATCTGTGTAACCAAAGTCTTCTGTCCACTAATGTGATATTAAAATCAATGTGGTTGCACTTTATTCAAAATACTACCACTTGTACACACGAGTTGCATTTTTCACTTGATTTCTTCACGTTTATTAGCATTCACCAAGTTTTACTCAAGTATTTTTAGTGGTAAAAAATCACGTCTACTTTTCATAATTATGATCGTATCTTATGATCATTGCGATCGCGCCTGTATATATACAATGCGTTTTCAACTTGAAATCGGGATGCACTCTACAGTTTTCTCCTTTTCCTTCCATACTTGGTGTGGAAATGGAAGAAAGAGCTTCGGTATTTTACCGGCTCCGTCCTGTTTCCATTTATCGATTGTAGAACTGTTCTCTACCTCAAATCTCAAAGTGGTTTCTAGAACCAGTATCTCGATTTGAGAAGACTCACAGTTACGTCAGATACTTCTCATGATGCTTTTGGTCGTTTGACCTCTACTACTTAACTAGATGGGCAATCGAGCCCGAGATGGCCCCGCTGGGCGACGTGGCCCATCCGCACAACAATCTCGTGCACCCCAGTCTGGCAGTCAACGTATGAACGGAAACCAAATACAACATCGCAACGATAAATCTTCTAAACCAATTCCTGCCTCTAAACAAAATCAGACTGCCAAAAAGGAACAGCAGGATGTTAAGACCTCTGATAGCGAAAAAGCAGAACCGCCTGTTCCGAAAAGGTAAGCTCCCGATTACCTGTGATTGGTATAGTTTCTTCAAATTTCAGTAAGTCTTCAGTCTCTCCAGATTATTTGCCTAAATACATATATACATATACATATATTTTATATACGTTTCTTAATGTTAGCTACATATGTTTTTGTATCAGTCTCAGAAAAAAATTTTTTCTCTTTTATCTATATCTTTCTTTTTATATATTTATCCTATACCGTCAATGCAATTCAACTTATATTTCACAGACATTGGTCAGAGTGCAATGAAATTTTGCTGTTGCTTTCCGTAATTTCTTCTCCCTGTACATTTATCAAAATGTATTTTGACGTATATTGTTCCAATCGGTGATAATATACTTTATATTCTAATAAGATGTATGTATTACATCTTCTTATACACTTCTATATCGATGTAATTTTTTTTATTTGTAAAGGGATTTTATATGAATCGAGATAAATATTATGACTTGCAAAATAATATAATTAAATTTATAATTAGAAGTTAAAATTTTCATAACAAATTTAATATACTCAGCTGTTTAAATTGATAATAAAACTTTTCTTGGAACATAAGTTTTATCTTAGATTATTTATAATGTAAACAGCAGTGATGCAGATGAGTCTGAAGATAAGAAGCGCGATTGGAAGGATGAGAAAAACACGGAAGAAGTAAAAGTTGAAAAAATGGAAGATGAAAAAATGGACGATAGCGAGAAAAACGTGGAGAAGTCGGCTGAAGATTCTACGAAAGAAGCAAAGGATACCTCTGAGAAAACTGAAAAAGAGAACATGAAAACGACTGGCAAGAAATCGGAAGTTAGACACGCTGAAAGTCGTTACTCCGAAGTTCCGATGAACCATATGTTTTGTCATATTTGCAATAAGCATATGTGGGATGGATTTGTATGCATCATTGATGAAATTATTAGGTGTTGGAATTAATTCGTAGCGTTTTACAAGTGATGGGAAGTACTTTCATTAATGTATTTTTTAATGCTCATGTGAAATAAATAACATTCTTTCATTAAAAACGCTACGAATTAATTCCAACACCTAATACCAAATCTTCTATGTAATCGCCGAGAATTAATTAATTTTTATATTTGTTCGCAGTCCTTCGAAAATCATTTACGCGGACGTGCACATCAACTGATGATGGAAAAGTTGGATGAATCGTACAAATTGAAAGTCGATTTAATGAGACACGAGCTACGAGTTGCTGAGGAGCAGCGTGAACTTAGTTTGAACAATTCGAAACGACGTGGTAAAAAAGTAAGAATTATATCTCCTAGAAGAGTTGAATATATGTATATACAGATTTAATAGTAAGGGTATTTGTATTTATTTATAATTTCTTGATAGGTCTCTGTAGATTTCAATGTGAGAGAATATTGTACAATGTGCGATCTGAATTTTTATGGAACCTTATCTACACATAGGAAGAGCGAAAAGCATCAACAATTGAAAACATTTTTGCATCCTCGATGCTTTCCTTGTTTAAAAGAATTTCCGTCTCGCATAGAATATGACGAGCACTGTTTAACACCGGCTCATATGAAGAATGCCGTTCAATGCGAGGAACAACGGAAAAATAAAAAGAAAGGTAGTGAAGAAAATGAATGAAAGAAAACATTTGCGAATTAATATTTCGAAGAGAATTTTTAATTGATAAATTTTTGTAGAAAAACTGGCAAAGGGAGAGGCGGAGGTTCGTACTGCAGAAGATGAGGAGAAAGATGTGTGTAATGACTCGAAGAACGAAAAAGAAGAGGATTCAGGAGAACAAGAATACATCACGGATATTATGGAAAATTTAACTGAGAAGAAACTCAAGATACCGTCTTACAAATATTGCCGTCAAAATCATATCTTTATTGGTATGGATTATTGAAATTGGAAAAATATAATTTTAATTTACATGAACTAAAAAAAGGAAATATACGCGTATTTTTTTTGTATTAGTTTTACAAGAAATTATATTTACACAGGCAAATCTATGGTCAAGGAGGTCCAAGGATTTTATTGCGAGCGTTGCCGAAGATTTATGCTCTTAGCTGAAGATATGAACGCTCATCTACGCAGCATCACGCATTATCGGAACTTTGTGGCAGAAGTAAAGTCATTAACATTGAATGTGCCAACTACAGAGTCGAAAGAAACTGAACAAATTGATGTAAGTAATTATATCCCGTAAAATAAAATAAAGAAAATCTTGTAAAATTCTTGTATCATATTTACAGAATGAGAAAAATGTTGAAGTTAAGGAAGATTGTGATGTACATTGGAAACGTCGTAAGATTAGTCATGATGAAAATGATGATGACAAGCCGAAGGAGCAGCAAGAGAGTAGTGCTGATAATGTAAATGTAACACCGAAGAGATCGGACGGAGAGGAGAAGTATGATCCATTGGAAGCCGATGCTGCCGAATCGGAGGAGGAGGAAAATCGCGAAGCGGAGGAGGATACGAAAGAGACCGCCGTGGAAGACGCTACTAATATACAGGATGTAAAACCTTCAGTTGATGAAGTGTGGGCAGATATGGATAATGACAATGATGTTGAAATGGGTAACCTGATCGATGAAGCGGATGAAAAAGAACATGTCGAACCTGAAAAGTCTGTACCGAAGATAGAACGAAATCATAGTCCTCAAATGAAACAACCTAGAGGTCGCGGATTCGTACGCGGTCGCGGTGGTCCGCGTGCCAGGAGATCTCGGCGATAAGATAATGCCGATTTATGGAAATATGAAAGTAAATGTGAGAAAAAAATAACGTTGACATAAGAAAAATTTAATTCCGTATCTCATATTCATTCGGATAAGTTTTAATGAATAGAACACGTTTTTATCACCGAAGCGTGGGATATTAATATACATATTAATATTGCACATTATATTAATATTAACATTATAACAGAACATACATCCTTGGTCAAAATATTAGGCACCTATATTCTTTTTATTAATCGGAAATTATATCGCTTGAAAAATTATATTATTTGCAGCGACGGCCGAACTTAATCGAAGACTTTTAAAGTTCCAAATTAAAAATGTCGATAACAGTGACATTTTAAATTCAATTCTTACATTATTATTCTGTCTTACTCAAACGCATACATCTATCCTTATTTAACATATTGCAATGCCATTTTTGCAAGATCGAGTAACTACTAGTCACAATTACTGCTTTGTTTACAGTCTTTGCTAAGCATACACGTATACATGCAATTTGCAAATCAATAAAAATCTTTTTTTAAGCTTTTAATCTTAGTTTTATAAACACAATATTGTTCGTTCACATAATCGAACGAACAATGCAATGTTATTTTGTCCAAAGGACCCATAAAACTGTTATATTAAGGAAACGTCTATGTCAGATGATAGCTCTAGGAGTTGCAAAATAAGTAAGCTTTTTTTGATTTTTAGGTTAAAATATACCATCTTCTAATTTTTGCGTCTAATTCTGTAAAAGGATTTTGTATTTCATTCAGTCAATTCGGAGATTTTTATATAACTGTAATGTTTCGATGATTTGACCACTCCAGATACTCTATTCTGTAACTTGTTAAAACAGTAACGACATTGTTGCGCAGCTTTTTATACTATAAAATATCTTCGCAATAATATCGTTACTATCTTAACGAATTACAAAATACGAACTCAGAAGGAGGGGGGAGGGTAACGATCATCTAGGAGTGGAACCGTGAAAATTTTTATGGGTGTACGTATGTATGTACGTATGATGTATATATATATATATACACACAGGGTGTTTCTTAAATAGCGGACACTAATCATATAGCGTAATTCCTAATTAAAAATTGAGCCGAAAAATCTTCCACAATTTTTACAATGTTGATGAAATATTAATTTCTAAATATTGCCGAATAAGCGCGTATCCGGCTGCCCAATTATTAATTATCGCGAAAATTACAAAATGGTAGAGGACTTTTCGACTCAATTTTTAATTAGGAATAACTATATGATTAGTGTCCGCTATTTAAGAAATACTCATAGTGTGTGTGTGTGTGTGTGCGTGCGTGTGTGTGTGTGTGTGTGTGCGTGCGTGTGTGTGTGTGTACATATATATACATATATATACATATATATATTTACAAATGGCATCCAAGAAACTTCAACATGTCATTCATCGCTTGTGATGTCAGATTCAATATGGCCACAACAGCTACTTAAGAGCTTAAGGGAATGCCTAGGTAGCGATCATGTATGCCATTTGTAAATAAAGAGAATTTGTAAAAAAAAAATAATCGCTTATAAAAATGAGCCGCCCTTCTCCCTTACAATCAGTAAATAGTCGTAAAAGGCATGTAAAGTGAAAATAGACGCATGTGCATTAAGAGTTTATTCAAACAGCAAATGACATAAATCAATTTTTGAACTTGAATGTTAAATAATGGTTAATAAAATGCCTAATATTTTTTGACCAAGATTGTACATGATGATTGATGGTAATTCAGAGCAAACAAGCTAATGTGTTTTATCATCATTTTGACGTCAGTGATGATAGATAGCTTGTTTGCTAGGAAGTTCTTAATTATAAGTTTATAACTATAAACAACTTAGGGAGCGTTTATATTAACCGTAACCATGATGTAAGAATACAAGGTGTACCATTGCATATAATGGCGATATCATTCAAATTTTGACCTCTATACATTTTCCTGTGTATAATAGCGTTGGAATAGCCAATCAAATTTTGCCCTCAAATTCACTCCTACTACGCATCTTCGGGAATGGTACATCTTGTCTGTACCGTAACCGTATGTTGTAATGTGTAAAAATTGATCAATCGAGTATTCCCTTCTTACAGTTGAATGAGAGGGGAATACCTGACTGTGATTAGTCGATTCTTATAAATTACGGTATACGACCAATATAAACGCTCTCTTATACATTAGCACCATGGAGAGATTCAGAATTTTTTTTATACAAATGATGAGCTCTTCTCTTTAGCTACAACCATGATAATCTTTCTATTAGTGTATTCGATTTACTGATTCAACCCGATTCTGAGTCAATGATCTGTTCTGTTTAACTGCAAAAGAAGAGCTGAATTGTGCAAGAAATGCAGTTAAAAAGAACAGATCGTTGAGTTGGAGTCAGATCGAGTCGGTAAATCGAATACTCTGTATATCATATTTTAAAATCATTGCTGACTACACACACACACGCGCGCGCGCGCGCGCGCGCGCGCGCACACACACACACACACACACACACAAATGATAAATATTGGATATGTCACTAATATAATTAGAAGTTGTGTATATGATACCAAGAAAAAGGACGTTGTTTTAAATGTAAACAAGAAACTTCATGGAATTCTAAACACACAACTAATATGATGATATACGTAATCGAAATACATAATGTCAAATTTAGATATTTGTCTCTTTGTTTTCCATACACAATATATATCCATAAGAATATTCTTATATCATTTATTAATATAAATGGTAAAGGCTATACAAGAATTTCTAATTCTTTATTATGTTCCTCACAACAAAGTAAATGCATCCCCTTATTAATTTAAATTCTTTAAAAGATTATTAATGATTTTTCATTGTAACATTTATGTATTCAAGAGATACTGGAAGTGATGTTACATTTATGTATTCAAGAGATACTGAATGATGTTATAAATTTTCAACTTTGTATTTTATTTTAATTGCATGCATGAGTGTTCATTTTTAATAATAAAACAGAATAATATTTCCATGTATGAAGAGAAACAGATCAATTGTGATCTCGTTATATGTAAAGATAGGACATTTTAATGAAACAAGGATCTTTTTGTATCTATTTAAAAAATGTGCTTTACATTTTTGAAAAAATCAGAACATGAGATTATATTAAGATTTGAATGGTTAAAAAAAGAATTTGTATGACTAGAGATAACAAATATAGGCAATATGAATACATACAATATTAGAAAATAAAGTACAATCATATATGTACTATATATATAATATTCATATTAAAAGGATAGTTTATTAAGAATTCAATAGAAACAATATCATGTAATGTAATATTTTCTAATTTTAATCCTTAGAAAGATGAGTCGACAGAAATTCATCTACAGAGTCTGTATCCCATTTGTGTATATCGAGTACATCTTCAACTTTATTTTCTGCATCATACAACTTAATGATCGGATCTAAACCTCTTACATACTTTATGTTGAGGTTTTTATACTTTTTTGGTCGATCGCTTTTGATGAAAGCTAAAAGAAATGTAGTAGACATGGATTTATATTGAATTTGAAGTTGCAATATTATATTACTTTTATCAGAAATGATTGTAGGATACCTTGTATTTGTGGATATTGTCCAAATTTGCACGTACACACTTCAAGGATGGCTTTGGGATAACGTTTTGACAATTCATAATCGTTATCTTTTAGACAACATTCCTTACATATGGTACTAGAAATAAAAAAGGAGATACATTTACACTCTGGATATTCATAATAATTTTTGATGGAATAGATTTTTACATACTAAATTTTTTCTAGATCAGGTTCGGCAAAATGTTTACAGGTCGAGCAGAGCACATTGGCTTTATTAAATCCCAAAATCTTACAATCATTTGCCGAAAATTCTGCGACAGCAATGTCCATCTATAAAATTAATTATTAGTACTTATAATAATTTCGGCAAATTTCACAGTAATTTACTTTTTATTTATGATACATATGTATAAATTATGTTTTAAAATAAGAAAAATATGAGATATTTCGAAAATAAAATTCAGATACACGATCACTTTGTTATGTACAAATACAAAGTTATATTTTCTATTACTTACTGTAATGATAAACAAAAATAAAACCGTATGTAATAAGTGATTCATTTTGTCACCACATATGTTTAATTAATCAAAGAACTAATTTTATGTTATTTTTGTTATTAGAGATCTTTATTGTTATAAAGGTAATGTTTAGCTCCAACTAGCTAAAAAATCGATAAAATTATACTTTCAATTATCCGCGTTTTTATCCGAAAAGAATCTATCTGAAAAAAAGCGTTACTTTGTTCGACAAAGCGAGATATTAATTGTAGAATCTTGCCACTATCAATCACTATCAGCCACTATTGAGGATATGGCGAAAGAACTTGCCTCCATCATAATTGAGGTTATAAAAGCTCATACCGCTATAAGGCCCTGTACACAATAGTAGCAATAAGGAATTAGGAATAAGGAATAATGATTTTAACCTATCAAAAACCGTGTATTCCGTTGAATCCAATAGGAGAAATGCGATTGGATAACGGCCGCAGCACAGACTTTTGCATAACGCATAATGCATAGTGCATAAGCGAATCAATTAATCAGAATCTTTTCTTTCTTACCATTCCATAGAAAAGAAGAATTTGGTTCCCTTATGCACTATGCATTATGCTTTGCAAGAATGCTGCGGCTATAAGGGCCATTTCACACAACTTGCATAGCCGCATAAAAGTTTGTATAAAGAAAATCATCCAATCATATTTTATGTTTGTCTTTATGACAGAAATGATTGAATAATTTTCTTTATGCATACGTTTATGCGACTCTGCAAGTTTGTGTGGATATACCCTAAGCGGATAGCGGATCGCCAATCACAGAATTAAGTAGGGAATACAGACTCTTACATAACCCATAAAACATGAGGCACAAAAAATCAATCAATTGTATGATATACTTATTGCCATCTCTTAAGGGGATGCTGGAGTGTCCTGTTTTACCATTAATTATTAAAGACTCTTTTCTCTTAATTGTGTTTATAGATTGAAAAGTCCTTCTCCACAATTAAAGTATCGACAATAACGCAATTCGCCAGCTACAATTAAATACGAAAAACGAAAGAAAATTTAAGACTTATGTTTAAGACTTACATTTTCGTTATCGGCTTCTGTTAACAATATGTGTTGCATATAAGAGTTTCAGACCTTGCACGTTCATAAAAAGTTACTGGCGAATTGCAGAAAACCTGAAAGAACAATCCTATGTTTTTAAAAACGAAGTAGGGACTTTAGTATAAGAGAAAAGAGTCACCGAAAATTTCGTTTATATTGTATATTACGAGTGAAATTGACATGAAGCAATGAAACCGAGCAATATTTTAATTCCGCGATATTCGGACAGCGGCGCTATCATGAAAAGTTGAATCATAGAAATGATCTGAATTATCGACCTACTCAGATTCATACCAAAAAGCGTTCTTGCCTTGGTCAAAGTTTTTTGTTTTGAAAGGAAAAATAATAATAAAATAAATATAATATTAGTTATTTCAATTTTGTTGAAATAATTTCTTCATAAACAAGAAACATATCATATTATTTACATATGTATACAAATGAAGATCTTTTACATATATTTTATTTAGTAAATTATTGATGCATACATATGTGTGTGCGTGCGTGCGTGCGTGCGTGCGTGCGTGCGTGCGTGCGTGCGTGCGTGCGTGCG